CGGCTACCATCCGGTACTCTACCCTGCACCTTAAAGACTGTTGCTCTATGTACATAGTCATTGAACACTGGTCACTTTAATAATGTTTACATACTGTTTTACCCACTTCATATGTACATACTGTAATCTAGTCAAGGCTCATCCTATATAACTACTGCTGTACACACCTTTTATATTCATATACTGTCCATAATGTCTATACACACCATATTTCTTCTGATATTAATTCTGATATTTCTTAATTCCTTTATTTTTATTTGTTGGATTTGTGTGTATTTTTTTTAATTGTTAGGTATTACTGTACTGTTGGAGCTAGAAACATAAGCATTTCGCTGCACCTGCGATAACATCTGCAAAATATGTGTACACGACCAATAACATTTGATTTGGAATACTTCTCATAATTATTAATAACGCTACGGTAGCCTACAGTTGAAGTTGGGAACAACTTCTGTATGCCTATGTGATAGAATAAATAGCCTATTTCACTTGAAACCACAGTCTCAGGAGAGGATTGTAATACCGTAATAAGGGTTGTTATTGTTATGTGTTTGATAACCTGTGAGGGGGAATAGAGGTGAGCTAAGCCTTTTGACAGGGAAGGTTCTGGTGATTCACTGCCAGTTGTGATGACTCACCCTTAATTGCTGAAGAAGCAGACATTTAAACTTGAGGGATTAAGTTAAGTAGAACAGATTTTAAATAGTAGTCCACTAATTATAAAACTCTACAGACTGTGTTACAAAAGTGTTATAAACAATATATTTTATTATTTGTGTGACATTCTTTTTTTTTTGGGGGGGGGGGGGGGGGGGGGGGGGGGGTAGATCAGCTTAATATTGCAGATAGATTGTAACTTCCATCCATGTAATTGTCTGCATCACTTCCAATCCCCCATGTTTTATATATATATATACATATATACACACATACATACATATACAGTGGGGAGAACAAGTATTTGATACACTGCCGATTTTGCAGGTTTTCCTACTTACAAAGCATGTAGAGGTCTGTAATTTTTATCATAGGTACACTTCAACTGTGAGAGACGGTATCTAAAACAAAAATCCAGAAAATCACATTGTATGATTTTTAAGTAAGTAATTTGCATTTTATTGCATGACATAAGTATTTGATCACCTACCAACCAGTAAGAATTCACAGACCTGTTAGTTTTTCTTTAAGAAGCCCTCCTGTTCTCCACTCATTACCTGTATTAACTGCACCTGTTTGAACTCGTTACCTGTATAAAAGACACCTGTCCACACACTCAATCAAACAGACTCCAACCTCTCCACAATGGCCAAGACCAGAGAGCTGTGTAAGGACATCAGGGATAAAATTGTAGACCTGCACAAGGCTGGGATGGGCTACAGGACAATAGGCAAGCAGCTTGGTGAGAAGGCAACAACTGTTGGCGCAATTATTAGAAAATGGAAGAAGTTCAAGATGACGGTCAATCACCCTCGGTCTGGGGCTCCATGCAAGATCTCACCTCGTGGGGCATCAATGATCATGAGGAAGGTGAGGGATCAGCCCAGAACTACACGGCAGGACCTGGTCAATGACCTGAAGAGAGCTGGGACCACAGTCTCAAAGAAAACCATTAGTACCACACTACGGCGTCAAGGATTAAAATCCTGCAGCGCACGCAAGGTCCCCCTGCTCAAGTCAGCGCATGTCCAGGCCCATCTGAAGTTTGCCAATGACCATCTGGATGATCCAGAGGAGAAATTGCAGAAGGTCATGTGGTCTGATGAGACAAAAATAGAGCTTTTTGGTCTAAACTCCACTCGCCGTATTTGGAGGAAGCAGAGCATGGCGTTTGCTAAAAAAATTATTATAATAATGTATGCACTCACTAACTGTAAGTCGCTCTGGATAAGAGCGTCTGCTAAATGACTAAAATGTAATGATGAACTTCACCAACGGCATGGAGCAGAGACCAGGCTTTGTGGAATCTAGCTCCGACACTTAAAATAATTTAAATTATGAAACGCCTACCTTGTACCTATGTTTGTCCTCTGTAGCTGTGTGCCTTTCTTTGTTTTCTGAAATCCAAACTTTTTCAATAAACGTTAATCAAATACAACCACTGACTATTTGCTCATTGCTGTTGCTCTAAGATGGCAACTCAGCGCAAATGTGCATGGTGGTGGTATTTGATTAACGTTTATTGAAAAGGTATGGATTTTAGCAAACAAAGAAAGGCACGCAACTATAGAGACAAACATAGGTACAAGGTGGGTGTTTCATCATTTTTCTTTTGTAAAGAATTTACCCTGGGCGAATCGATGAAATTGGAGGTAGATTCCACAGAGCCTGGTCTCGGCTCCATGCCATTGGTGAAGTTCATCATAAACTTCCTTCACCATGGAGTTTAGTCTGCTACCAAATACTAAACTTTTGACTACTTTAATACACTATAAGTGAATTTGTCCAAATACTTATGTAAAAAACAACATTAAAATGGGGGGACTAGATACATAAAGTGATTTCATTTCTAAACAGTAAAACAGATAAGGACATTCTGTACTGTCACCTCATATGTCACCTACAGCACCCGATGTCACAGGAAGGCCAAAAAGATCATCAAGGACATCAACCACCCGAGCCACTGCCTGTTCACCCCGCTATCATCCAGAAGGTGAGGTCAGTACAGGTGCATCAAAGCTAGGACTGAGAGACTGAAAAACAGCTTCTATCTCAAGGCCATCAGACTGTTAAACAGCCATTACTAGAACATTAGAGGCTGCTGCCTATAGACATAGACTAGAAATCACTGGCCACTTTAAGAAATGGAACACTAGCCACTTTAATCATGTTTACATATCTTGCATTACTCATCTCATATGTATATACTGTATTCTATACTAGTCTATGGTATCTTAGTCACTTTAATAATTTGTACATATCTTATATTATTCATCTCATATGTATATACTGTATTCTATACTATTCTACTGTATCTTAGTCCATGCCGCTCTGACATCGCTCGTCCATATATGTATATATTCTTAATTAATTCCTTACTTAGATTTGTGTGTATTGGGTATGTTGTGAAATTGTTAGATATTACATGTTAGATATTACTGCACTGTCGGAGCTAGAAGCACAAGCATTTCGCTACACCCGCAATAACATCTGCTAAACACGTGTATGTGACCAATAAAATTTGATTTGATTTGATCTCAAATAAAAAATCCTGGAGTATAGAGCCAAATATACTAATTTTAGCTTCACTGTCCAAATAAATACGGAGAGGAGTGTACAAACCTGCCTAGTCACTCTCAGATGAGGAAAGAGCAGGGAAAATGCCTGAAATGTTTACCAAAAGTGTCTCCCATACTGTTCCAGGATTTGGGATTTGAAATAACAAGGTTTGTCTACCTTCATGCTCTCAGCCTTCCAGACTACAGTCATGTGATAGGGGAATTTCCTGTTTGCTGGATGCACACAACAGAGGGCACACTCAACAAGTCATGTGATTGGAGGTGAGCTGTTTGTGAACATGCTTTGTGGAAAACACCCTCACAGTTACTCAGCACAATTTCTTTATGTAACAAAGCATCCATTATGGATGTTTACACTATCCCTCTATTTTGGGCCCCAAAACTGCTTCCGTCAGCATGACTGGACCGGTTTCACCCCGTGTCACACGAAAGGATTTCTATCACTTTTAGCATCACTTAACCCATATTTATCATGGACGTGAGTACACATTCTGTCCTTTATATAGCCTTGAGCCAGTTCCCTGAATGGAAAGCTTTGTTATGAAACTCTGGGAACCTTGACAAGGGCCATTAGAGGAGTGCCGTAATGACACCACCAGATCAGTCACAATCTTAGACTCTTGTTCTTTAGGAATTCCTTCTCTTTCATGTCTTCTTGTTCTTTAGGAATTCCTTCTCTTTCATGTCTGAGTTTCATAAACCACTGGTTATGTCAAGGATATAATAGTACAATGTAAAACCAAAGTCTAGTAGTGGTCTTCTAAATCACTTCACACACACTGGGTGTGTGACAAACATGCCTTCTTTCATTGCAACAAAAATATATGTATTTGTTCATGTTTCACCTGAAATGGCCTTAGACGTTTTATTGATTTTATATTCAACAAACACTTTACATCTAATCATATCTTTTCTACCCCATAACATAATTAAAATGTGTTGTCAAGAAGTGAAAAAATATAAACCAGTATAGAAAAGTAGAGAAGCTTCAAATGAAATTGAAATGTGAATCAATGTGTTTATCACAAAGGTCAATAACTAGATGATGTCATGTTTAGTCACACACTCATCATATCATATAAACGATGTAATCCATCATGTGACTTTCTTTGAAAACAAAGGTTTAGGAGGTTTTGTTTGGTATCAGTATTTTCTAGAACTCATAATAAAATAATGTTGCAAAAACATGCCATCTACACAAAATATATAGGTCATTTTTTTAAATCTTTAACTTCTTAAATCATGGTGGGAGATCCATTTGTAAAATACAAATACTGTGAAATAAACAAGGTAATCAAATGTATTTCCTAATAGAATTTAATAAGAGTTGTACTTGTTCCATACTACCTGTTTATTGGGCAGGCTGACGTTTATTGGTATGAATCTTGTCCTGGAGGCAGTCCTAAGCGACACAAGATTGGCCAGCTACTAAGTCAAAATTGGCTATATATCGTAAAAATATATAGTTTTTGTTGTTTTCATTTAAGGTTAGGGTTAAATCAGATTTTATTACTTTCTAGCTGTGCCAGCTAGTGACTACCCTGCAGAGCGGCCTCCATGAGTCATCCCAATAAATGCCAACCTGCGTTTATTGGCAGCGGCAGTATTGAGGTCATGGGGGAGTCAATACTGTTAGTCCTTACAGTTCTGTGCTGCCCTCTGCTGCGGAGCAAAGGAACTTCTAAAACGACACCACAGTATGATCCCGAAGCAGTGGTCCATAAAACAGCAACCTACATTTCTGTTTATTAGGGAACACAAATTAAAGTAATACTGAATATATTAAATAATGTGTTACTTTATCATTTTCAATGTCAACGCTACAGTACTTACATTTTCTGTTGTCATTTAGAATGTTATGTTACAAAATATATAATACATAGGCCTACATTCTCACCTCTGAAATCTCCCAATTTCCATGATTTAAGAAAATAATACACCTTGAAAATGACATTTCAAACAAAGAGACAAAGTAGATAAAGTCAATAGTGCAGAATTATGTATTAAACAATACTTAACATTGTTAAACAGGAATTAGACTGAGGCGGAATGAGAACTTGCAGCCTAGATGACAACACTGTTGATATTTGTAGATGAAAGGTCAAAATGTTAGGTACAGGTTGACTCTTCAACAACAGTAATAGAAAGGAGAAAATAGAAGACATCCGTTCAAATTCAAACCGACAGCGGTTCAACTTATGCTTAATGTATCGACACAACGTCTATATAAAGTGGAACAAGGCTTTCAGGATTTTCTTTATTTTTCATGGCACAGGAAAGTTACTTTGATTCAGGGGAGTCTGGCTGGCTGACTTTATAAACCGTGAGCCAAAAACTCAACTTCCCAAGATGCAGTGGGTATTTGACCTTGATGTCAGCCGTTCATGGCCTTACATTCCACAATGGAACACATCTCTCACCAAGGACAGTGAACCGTAACTTTCTGAGGACTCAATCCTCAAGTATTCTGACTTGGTACAGAGAATAAGTGCATTTCTTCCTCCATTCGTGATATCCACAGCAGGCAGCGTCATGCAGAGATACAGGAGGCAGAGAGGGCCAGGTCTACCAGGAATATGTCAACTCCCTTATTTCTGCAGTCCATGGGATGTGCTGAATGTCTCATACACATTGGCAGCAAACTCCTTCACCTGGTCAATCATCAGGAGATCCTGCAAAGAGGAAATGTGTCAGTCTTAGACTCAAGACTTCTTAAAAAACTTGCTGTGATTCAAAAATGGAAATCCTTCCAAAAGTCAAATGAGCTCTTACCTGTACAAAGTGACTTGGTATTTCACTGCAGATCGAGTGGATCTGTCCATTCACAATGGGGATGATTTTGGCAACTGGGAGACTTACATGCGAGAGACTGGAAGAGATTTTGGAGCGGACATTAATTGATAGGCAGATTAATTTTAATACAAAAAGGTTGTGTTTTTTCATTTTATGTGGCATTCAGAAAGTGATTTACTATGACAAGATGACCTTCATAAATTGCTGCCAACAAAAGTCATCCACAAAAAAACAGACCTATCAGGTGTAGTGCTCAGGGTGGAGTCTCCTTGTGCTCTGGGTGGGGGCCGGAAAAACTCTGCCATGTTGTCAAGGAAACGGTTGAAGCCCCTGTTCAGGCAGATGTTGAGTACAGTGCCGAAGTCCGGGCTGGAGGACAGAGAGGACAGTTCAGCACACCCACGTGCAAGATAAGCCTCTCTAAATAAGGGTCAATGAGTGACAGGCCTCCAGCTTACCTTTCAAGCATGTCTCTGGTCTCATTGAGCAGCTTTATCGTAGTGACATCATTCTCTGTCAGACCACAGGCCTGTCAAACACAATTAAATAATGTAAACCCCAGTTTAAATCCAAATAAACAAAAAATAATAATACAACAAGTTGTATAATGTGTATTAGTTAATGACCATTACTCTGACCAGGGTTAACAATCCAGCAAGGGGTGGAACCGGTTCAGGGAACAGAACAGAAAACCGAAAAAATCCTAACAGAACCGGAAGTGATTTATACTCTTCCGGAACAGAACCGTTATTTTAAAGGCATTGGGAACCGGTTAATAATGTTCCGGGCATTTTTTCCCAGTCCCACAAAAATCCTAACAAATAGCCCACGCAAAGCCCTCACTCTGTCATTGAGAAACGTATTCCAGCATCTGCCTGCCAGCTGGAAATCTTTGCCAGTGGGTGTGTGTGTGTGTAGGCTACCTGCCCCTCCCCTCTGAAGCATAGGTTACTGTAGCCTACAGCTAGCCCATCTAGTGGAACTCGCTTAGTACTGCCTCTAGGACAAGATTCATACCAATAAAAAGCATGATTCAGGCATTAGGGAGAGATGTTTAAAATAATGTATTAATCTTTTCCAATGTTAGTTAAGGATACTATAGTTAACACACTTCACATTGGATTTATTAACTACAAAAAAGGAAAGATGTGTTTTTAGCTAGCTAGCTAACATTTTCTCTGGTCTAACGTTAAACCAACTCGGAAGTTCAAAGACATTCAAAGTTCCTCCATAGAAGCCACTCCTCCGTAGATATAATTCTGTGGGCCTAATTCAGATAATGCATGTCATAACAAGATGCCTCCATCCCCACTCGCTTCACCCGCAAAATTTCAGTTGCATCTCGCCCCCTACTACACCGTTTGCTGTTTTGGTTTGCTGGTCGGAACAGTACGAAAAAAATAATGGTTCTGTTCAGAACTAAACGATTGGAAAATAATTTTTGTTCCAACCCCTGCATAGTGGCGCTGGGATTAGGAGTCCCAGGGGCAGGTGTGGGCTGTCACCTGTGCAGCCAGAGTGTTCTCCTCGTCAGGCATCATGTACCAGGAGAGAGGTCTGTGTGTGGAGCCCCTGTCCCCCTCCTCCACCTGGACTCTGATCTGGTTAAGGTGCTGCTCCAGCTCCTGCAGGGACAGACTCTGCTTCAGGGACACCCTGGGGGGGGGGGGGGGGGAGACAGACACACAGAGACACGGTCACTGACAGACAGGCTAAAGCATCACATATGACTTAACAATCCTCCTAATGTGGTTTGAGATGCTGCTGTGCAATGTGTGCATGTGGCTGGCACTGTCTGACTCACCCGCCCAATGTGTTCTGCACAGCTTTCTTCACCACTGTTATCATCTCACTCAACCCTTGTGAGTCAGAGAGAATCCGTAAAAGGCAAGGATGCTTTACAGCCTGTGGGACTCATTTAGGCTAATCAACACAGCATGTCTGAGGACTTGTTATACTACAGCCCTAGCTATTTCAGAAAGCCCTGTAAATGTCTCTTACCATCCCCAAGGAGGTGCTGGATGCTGGAGAGGTACTGTTGTTGCACGTCCGGAGGGGCCAAGGGCATCTGGTGGAGCAAAGAACACAGAAATTGCATTTATAAACCACCCCACATCCAACATTTTGGGGCAGTTTTCTGGACACATATTAAGCTAATTCCTGAACCAAAAACCATTTTCAATAGAGATTCTCCATTGAGTTAGCTTTTCAGTCCAGTACTAGGCTAAATGTGTGTCTGGGAATTGAACCTACCCCATAGGGTACAAGAGATTGAAGCTTAAAGGCTTACCATTCCGCTCTTGCTGACAGAGTTGTCCAAGTATAAGTAGCCACCAATGATATTGAGCTGGACACGGAGTAAAACAACCAACATACAGGTACTGTACACAGCCACGACACTTCGGGTGAAACCTGGGGGAATAGGAAAAAGAGAAGTGATTCCATGACATACCTGTACATCAAGTGATCAAATCACTTTAGTTATTGATTCACAAAATAATTGCTGTTAAGGAATAATAACTTACTGATAATCTTCAGGTCCTCCCATATTTCAAGCTTATTTGCTGGTCTAGAAGAGAAACAGATGTCATTAATAATACCTTAAACTAATAATGTTGCTGAGCTATAGCTAAAGCATTTCCCTCTGACAGAGGCCATGAGACACTTACTTGCTCTTCAGCAGTGCAGTGAGGCTCTCAGAGTTTAGATGATGTAAGATGGCTTCTCTTAATGTAGGGAGCATTGACAACACTGTAAAAAAATTAAAATAATAACTGCACAACTAGGAATATGAATCAACACTGTAGTAACTATATCACTTGACATAATGAGCGTTGCAGGAGATTTCAGGGACTGTTAGTAGGCTGAAAGTGATGTACCGATCAGGCAGACAGCAGTACTGTACCTGTCATGTTGCACGTTCTCTGGTTACTCTCGAAGTGGAACTGACGTCGAGCTTGAGCGATGTACTCTGATGCCTCACGCTCCTGTATCTCTTGGATTTTCTTTTGGGCATATTTACCAAGAAAGTACACACCTGGAACAGGCAAACAGAAAGTCAAGGTAGCTAGAATGAATGCAGCAACATTAGCTATTAACTATATTTACCTATCATTATTATTTTTCATGACATTCATTTTCTAGCCATTTACTGGTAGATATAACTTAGCTTCATATATGCATAATCTTCATAGTTATCATATCTGATAACGTCCAGACCCACACAGGTAACATTCTGGCTACCTAGCCAACTTTGCTAGCTAATGTTAACGGTAAGCTAGTTAGCCAACTGCTATCTTGATAGCGTAGCTAGCTACCTCCGACAAACGCTCCAGCGAAAATAAATTTCCTTTTGTGGCGTTTCAGAAAATTCCACGTAGACGAAAACATTTTCGAGACGATTGAAGATTTATAAAACAGAAGAAACAAAGCACCCAAACGTGTTATTTTCCACAGTCTCACATGACACGAATTTCATAGATAGCTGCATGTCAAACACGCAGGTGCAAAGCAAAGCAACATCGATTAATCGGTGTTTCTGCGATCTGCAAAAAAAAAATGCCTGAGTGGTCCGTCCAATATTATCTTCCCCTTCAATGCGCGCTAATTTGTTCCAGGCAGGCCGTGGTGATTTTATAACGCTGTCGCATGAGCTCTCTGGTGTTGGAGTAGCTAGTTGATGTGCGTTTGTGTAATCTAATTTCTCAGACTGTACATTCAACATGGGGACAGAGAATGTGGGGAATGATGTCGTTTCTAGAGAGAACTTTCAGCCATGTGCCGAAGACATACAGAGATGGATGGCCAATGCCTTTGACATGGTTGGTTTGGCATAGGCCATAGGTGCAGGACCAATAGCTACAATGCGCCGTTGGTGGTCGGTTAGTTCTGTAGGGTTTTCAATAACTTTTAGACAACGCCAAAAAAAATCTGTTCCATTTATTTTTTGCGTTTTCACTATGAAGACGCAAAAGAAAAGGAACGGAACAGTGACCATTAACGGCGCATTGTGGCTAGGCAGGACAGAGCAGTCCCACCAGTAAATTACAACAAACTATTTTAAATGCCTGGTGTACTAATAATAATCTTCACCTCTTTACAGGCAAAAGATGCTTTGGAGAATGGTGAGGTGCCTGTTGGATGTCTCATGGTCTACAACAATGAAATCCTTGGCAAGGGGAGAAATGAAGTGAATGAAACAAAAAATGTGAGTAACTTAATCATTTCAGCTGGGCTATCATAGGCAAACACATCTCAATGGTTATTTGCTGTGGTTATTGCCTTGCAAGTGTCCAAACAAAGGCATTTACCAAAGCCATACCGGTACCCTAATCTAGTGGTTCTCAAACCTCTCCTCTTGGATCCCCAGACGTTTCACAATTCTGTTGTAGCCCTTTACTAGCTCACCTGATTTACCTAGTCATGGGCTTGAGGATTAGTTGATAAGTTGAATCAGGTGTGCTAGCTCTGGAATAGCTCAAACACATGGAAGGGCTGGGGATCCCAGAGAAGAGGGTTGAGAACCACTGGAATTGTTCTCTTTCTCCTATCATTCGAACACCATGCCTGTTAATGTGTATCTGACTCTGTGTGTTCCAGGCCACTCGCCATGCTGAGATGGTGGCTCTGGACCAGGTGCTGGAGTGGTGTCGTCATAGAGACCTGGACCCCAGGACAGTGTGTGAGAGGACTGTGCTCTACGTGACTGTGGAGCCATGCATCATGTGCGCAGGAGCTCTTCGCCTGACCAGTATCCTTATGACCTCATCAACCAGTCTCTACTTGGGTTTACCCAGTTTACTGTAGCATTTGTGTAGGTTCATTGTGAGGGTTTACCTCAAATGACTCTGTATAGGATGTCCAATCAAAAATTCATCTTTTGACCAATGGGTAAAATAATGTTGTGTAGATAATCCTCCAAGAAAACCAATGGTCCAAACCTCATGTCTCTTATCATAATCCGTTCAAAAGTTATTGGAGTTTTTACCTTTGTAGGATGGCCAGAATTAGGGTGACTAAACCGATGAAGGCCAGAGGAAAAAAAGTGGTAAAAAATCAGGAAGAACAGCTAGGCTGGATTCTGTGCAAGAATGAAGGTTACTGGCTACCTGACAGGCTCACTTTCCCGTTGAAATCACCATCTTTCTTCTCGAATCCGCATGACATTAAACGATAGAGATAAGATGGTTATCGATTTTGAGACATGACATGTAGTATGGGAATTGTGGGTGGACACCCTACTCTGTAGGACTTGTCTGAGAGCGAGTTCATTTTGCCTGATGCCCCGGGTGGGTGGAGATTTCACTTTAGGACCAATGGAATGGTCTAAAATGTGTCAACTCCGCGGCACCCGGCAAAGCAAAACGAACTCGCCCTGTGTTTCAAACCTTATCTGTTTTACCTTAACAGTGCAACAGACATTCCTCTGGTGGTGTATGGGTGCAATAATGACAGGTTTGGTGGCTGTGGATCTGTTCTAGACATCCCCTCTGCTGATCTACCTCACACTGGCTCATCATTTAAGGTACAATATGTCATCCAGTGTTCACAGCATTCTTTTTACACCCAATCTCTCTTTGTGCTTTTGTTGGAAAGAGACTGATTATCCCGTGTTGAAATGCATCCGCATCTGAGCCTAGCCTAGAGTTGAATAGGATCATTCATTTACTTCAGGAGGGCGTTGATTAAACAGTTGCTCCTTCATTTTCAGTGTATCTCTGGCTTCAGAGGAGAGGAAGCAGTGGAGATGCTGAAGACCTTTTATAAACAGGAGAACCCTAATGGTAAGAACTGCTACTTTAGGATTTATCTTATCCTGTAACCAGCATTATAAGTATCTAAGTATTTTTATGTACATTATAGTTGCAAAACTGTGAAATACAGATTTTTCTATTTCAGCTCCCAAGCCGAAGACGAGGAAGGAGTGAGATTATGTTGGTGTCCAGCAGGGGGCTCTAGACTTTAAGAAATGTGGTGAGGGGCAGAGGAGAATGATGGAAAGGGAGTTGCTAACAAAGCTTTTTCTTAAACAGACTTGGATTTGTCTGTCTGACAAATGTTTTTTTTTTTTTTTGTGTGTTCTCACTTATTCGCTCAGACTTTTGCGTCAGCACTCATTTTTATTTTCATATTATTGACAGTATATGAGACCCTTATAGTATAGTTTGCCTGGACACTATCCAGGGCCTGTAAAGTGGCTTGATTGCGTCGCTCTGTCGGCTCTGTGGCTTTCCTGTGTGGCTGGCTGGCTGTGTGAGGAGCTTCTGCTGACTTTATTATGGTTATTAGTGTACAGTACCAAGTGCAGTCGTGGTCAAAAGTTTTGAGAGTGACACAAATACTAATTTTCACAAAGTCTGCTGCCTCAGTTTTGATGATGGCAGTTTGCATATACTCCAGAATGTCATGAAGAGTGATCAGATGAATTGCAATTAATTGCAAAGTCCCCCTTTGCCATGAAAATGAACTTAATCCACAAAAAACTTTTCCACTGCATTTCAGCCCTGCCACAAAAGGACCAGCTGACATCATGTCAGTGATTCTCTCGTTAACACAGGTGAGAGTGTTGACGAGGACAAGGCTGGAGATCACTCTGTCATGCTGATTGAGTTAGAATAACAGACTGGAAGCTTTAAAAGGAGGGTGGTGCTTGAAATCATTGTTCTTCCTCTGTTAACATTTTACATTTTAGTCATTTAGCAGACGCTCTTATCCAGAGCGACTTACAGTTGGTGAATGCATACATTTTTCATAACCATGGTTACCTGCAAGGAAACACGTGCCGTCATCATTGCTTTGCACAAAAAGGGCTTCACAGGCAAGGATATTGCTGCTAGTAAGATTGCACCTAAATCAACCATTTATCGGATAATCAAGAACTTCAAGGAGAGAGGTTCAATTGTTGTGAAGAAGGCGTCAGGGTGCCCAAGAAAGTCCAGCAAGTGCCAGGACCGTCTCCTAAAGTTGATTCAGCTGCGGGATCGGGGCACCACCAGTGCAGAGCTTGCTCAGGAATGGCAGCAGGCAGGTGTGAGTGCATCTGCACGCACAGTGAGGCGAAGACTTTTGGAGGTTGGCCTGGTGTCAAGAAGGGCAGCAAAGAAGCCACTTCTCTCCAGGAAAAACATCAGGGACAGACTGATATTCTGCAAAAGGTACAGGGATTGGACTGCTGAGGACTGGGGTAAAGTCATTTGCCCAGAAGTTAATTGACAGCATGCCAGGGCGGATTGCAGAGGTCTTGAAAAAGAAGGGTCAACACTGCAAATATTGACTCTTTGCATAAACTTAATGTAATTGTCAATAAAAGACTTTGACACTTATGGAATGCTTGTAATTATACTTCAGTATACCATAGTAACATCTGACAAAAATATTTCATAACACTGAAGCCGCAAACCTTGTGAAGACCAATACTTGTGTCATTCTCAAAACTTTTGACCACGACTGTAGACAGAAACTGGCTGGACTGCATTATTGTCTGGGTTCTCCTCCTCTCCATGTTCTCATCTAATCCAGATGTGATCTCACTCCAAGCACCATGGGTCTGGGATGAGCTTAAGGCAGGTGCCGGAGCACCCTCAGCAACGTCTAAAGGAGCGCTCTCTCTCTGGTGTCTCAGTCATCAACTGCCGTCATGGATCTGAAATCAGTGTTGCCCCCTGAGGCCATTTCCCACTCCAATGTATCATGTCTGTGATCGTTTCTGGGTTTGTCTTGGATTGTTAAGTGCTGGTGTCGTCATGTACAATATGGTGGTGGCGTTCTCTACTTCTTTGAAAATGTTGTTACTAAGTGCCATGGCTGTTTTGTGATTTATTTATTTCTGCTGAATAACAAATACGTATTCACACAGTTACTCTCAGCGGGAGAAGGAACACTGAATAGTGAAACAGACTGGGAGCGCCCATGCAGACAGTCCTGTCCTGTCTCTCCCACTGAACGACTAGGCCAGACATCACTGCAGAGGGACCATATTCCAATGAGAGGGACCCACTTATTTCAGATCAGAAAGAAGACCAGTTCCATTCCATCCATTCCATCCACTCCCACTGTTTCTTTAATATTAGTCTCTGTAACCACCAACACTCACACGAGGACTGCAGTTTGGTGTGTGACAAACGGCATGTGTTTGTAGGACAGACCACATCTGTGTGGGATCAGAGTCAGTCTGAAACTCCTCCCCATCCCATCACTTGCAGTAGGCAGGCTGCATCCCTCAGCCTTAAACCCTTAGTGGTCCCTTCCCTGGACAGGATCAGGAACAGAGGAACGAACAGCTCAGTCCAGGCAGCATCAGACAGTACAGGTTGTACCAGCTCCTAATGAATGCTCCACACTCTGACCTACTTTAACTTTCACTATTGTTTTTTACTGTCTTTTGTAAATCTATTAAAATCTGTTTTAAATCAGCAAAATGTCCTCTTTATTTAGTTCAACTGCTGTATGTAGTTTATTCACCAATGGGGAAAAAAAGTATTTAGTCAGCCACCAATTGTGCAAGTTCTGTAAGGCCTGTAATTTTCATCATAGGTACACGTCAACTATGACAGACAAAATGAGAAGAAAAAAATCCAGAAAATCACATTGTAGGATTTGTTATGAATGTATTTGCAAATTATGGTGGAAAATAAGTATTTGGTCAATAACAAAAGTTTCTCAAAACGTTGTTATATACCCTTTGTTGGCAATGACACAGGTCAAATGTTTTCTGTAAGTCTTCACAAGGTTTTCACACACTGTTGCTGGTATTTTGGCCCATTCCTCCATGCAGATCTCCTCTAGAGCAGTGACACAGACTTTCGCTGGGCAACACAGACTTTCAACTCCCTCCAAAGATTTTTTATGGGGTTGAGATCTGGAGACTGGCTAGGCCACTCCAGGACCTTGAAATGCTTCTTACGAAGCCACTCCTTCGTTGCCCGGGCGGTGTGTTTGGGATCATTGTCATGCTGAAAGACCCAGCCACGTTTCATCTTCAATGCCCTTGCTGATGGAAGGAGGTTTTCACTCAAAATCTCACGATACATGGCGCCATTCATTCTTTCCTTTACATGGATCAGTCGTCCTGGTCCCTTTGCAGAAAAACAGCCCCAAAGCATGATGTTTCCACCCCCATGCTTCACAGTAGGTATGGTGTTCTTTGGATGCAACTCAGCATTCTTTGTCCTCCAAACACGACGAGTTGAGTTTTTACCAAAAAGTTCTATTTTGGTTTCATCTGACCATATGACATTCTCCCAATCCTCTTCTGGATCATCCAAATGCACTCTAGCAAACTTCAGACGGGCCTGGACATGTACTGGCTTAAGCAGGGGGACACGTCTGGCACTGCAGGATTTGAGTCCCTGAAGGCGTAGTGTGTTACTGATGGTAGGCTTTGTTACTTTGGTCCCAGCTCTCTGCAGGTCATTCACTAGGTCCCCCCGTGTGGTTCTGGGATTTTTGCTCACCGTTCTTGTGATCATTTTGACCCCACGGGGTGAGATCTTGCGTGGAGCCCCAGATCGAGGGAGATTATCAGTGGTCTTGTATGTCTTCCATTTCCTAATAATTGCTCGCACAGTTGATTTCTTCAAACCAAGCTGCTTACCTATTGCAGATTCAGTCTTCCCAGCCTGGTGCAGGTCTACAATTTTGTTTCTGGTGTCCTTTGACAGCTCTTTGGTCTTGGCCATAGTGGAGTTTGGAGTGTGACTGTTTGAGGTTGTGGACAGGTGTCTTTTATACTGATAACAAGTTCAAACAGGTGCCATTAATACAGGTAACGAGTGGAGGACAGAGGAGCCTCTTAAAGAAGAAGTTACAGGTCTGTGAGAGCCAGAAATCTTGCTTGTTTGTAGGTGACCAAATACTTATTTTCCACCATAATTTGCAAATAAATTCATAAAAAATCCTACAATGTGATCTTCTGGAGAAAAAAAATCTCAATTTGTCTGTCATAGTTGACGTGTACCTATGATGAAAATTACAGGCCTTTCTCATCTTTTTAAGTGGGAGAACTTGCACAATTGGTGGCTGACTAAATACTTTTTTCCCCCACTGTATATGTTAATGTTGTGGATAAAAAAACAATGTGAAGGTGACAATGTAAGTTTGAAGAATTGCAAACCTCTAGCTAGCGATCACTATTGCTTTATCTACAGGAAATGTGACCATTTATTTCAGGATTTTCAGTAACTGACTGGTGTTTGAGAGTCTATTCTACAATAAGACAACAGTGATTATCACTAACAGGCTGTAGTGTAATGATTCTTATTAACTTAATATCTTCTATCCACTTCCCCCTGGCTTTGTGTGTTATGACTCATTCCTTTAAAAAGGTTTTAAATCTTTGATGCTTGTGGCTGTGGCGAGTTAGATGAGCTCTCACGCCCTTAGCTACATTCTAACTATACACCCCCCTGAAAGTCACTCCTGTAGAGCTCTGCTTCTACGGCCAAAGTACCACTCAGGATCCCTGCCTAAGACTGGCACAGTACACTTGCTCAGCTGCCTGCCCACCCACACACATCCGGCAGACACGCATACACCTTGCCAAAGGATCTGTACTCTGTATTTTCTGTGCTTGGAGGATGCAGGGGTTGAGCGCCATCACAGTGAGCACTTGGAGCCACAATGCATGGCTATATCTGGGCCTCCATCTTGTGCACGCTGAATTAGCTGCATTGTTTTCTACCTAGTGGGGCCTGGAGACAGAAAGGCTGCTTTTAAACTGCTTTTACCTCCACTGAAGTCAGTACATGTCGAGCGGTAATGTTATTTGGGCTCTGTCTCTGGCATTTCTGCCTGCAGGTTTGTAGTTGTCACACTTTCGATTGGCTTTGACTAAGCCTTGCATGTTGCTCAAGCTTTTCCTGCTTACCAAACACAGTTTTCGCCCTAATTACTATGCTAATGTATGCCAGCAAATTCCTTCAAAATGCATTCAATTTGTCACCTCCACATGGGGGACCGGCAGTGTTAATGAGAAGACTGAAGTGTCTTTCTCTCGTTATCAAGCTGACAGAGCGCCTGTGACTGTGCACACATTCCGCCATGACAAAAGTGTATACAAACAACTTACCCAGCAAAGATGTCATTCTCTATCAGGATGAAAAACCACAGTTGTCAAGAGCACCTATTTCCATTTCACTACAGAGGAATGTATTAGAAGAGTTTCATTTTTCCATCTAATTGAGCTGACAGCTGCTACAGGAGTTGGATCTGGTGGCACACCGTTAGAGGTTTTGTTTAATAAAAAAGTGAGGATAGCTAGAGAGGAGATATAGTATGCTCTGGTATTTTGCTGTTTTGGCTCTCTGTTTAAACATTGGTGTCAATAGGATTGTAATACATTGCCAGTCTGTTCTAAAAATGATAAACAGCAGCTGAGATCATATCACTCTCAAAACAAACTTACAGCCACTGAAAGAATGTATCACATTTTTCATTATATACTGTGGTATACTTACATTATAGGCTAACATATTATTTCATGAGAGCTTTTGAGGTCTGTCTCCCAGAGTTACTAGAGCCTTGGAATAGTTGTGAATAAAAATACACATTATGGGGATATTTCTTCTGCATTGAGCTTCAAGTTATTTAGTGTGTCTTTATGGACTGGAATGTGTGTGTTTCTCGTTAAGAGTTTGTCCAGCACTGCACAAAGGAATTGTTATGTTTGGACAGAGTCTGCGTCTGAAAAAGCCAGGCAGAAATTGCCAGTGAAAATATAGGGCAAACATTAAATCATACGTGTGGTGATTTTTCTTTTTAATTGAATGGGTGGGCCGTCATTCCCATGGAATTTAGTGTTATGTGAGTCTGTGAAGAGAAGAGCTGTAGTGAGACGCTGGCTGACACACACATCCATGACACCTCTGACTCGCTCTAAATAACGTAACTTTTTATTGAAAGACCATACACTTCAAATGCGGTCATCCCTTTTTACAAAAGCATAAAAACAAGAAAGGGTATTTTCGAGCAGCGGAGCTCACAGTCTGGCTGTCCTAGAAAATAACATTCTGTGGTATAGCTGTTAGACACTACACATCCAGGAAAAGTCTGTCATTCATGCCACTGTAGGAGATGCCCTCGCTGGAAAGCTCTCCAGTGAAAAGAAAAAAAAAGATAATTTGAATACATGGCTTTTGCTAACTCTGCTGGCGTGCCTAAGCATCTTAAGATAAATATCATACCTGTAGCAGTAAGTTAATTCCATTAATACAATAGCAGTAAATTCATTCCATTAATACAGTATGCTCCGTGTTCAGATAATACTTGAGTCTTTGAGATGGATGAACAGGATGATTAAATACTAATATGTGGGTAAATGTAGTGCCATAGTAATACCTCCAGTCCATAGCAAGGTGGTGAATTCATATCCCACATTGTCATTGACAGAAAACAGGCGTCTCAGTTCTTAGCTTCAGTCTCAACAATTTCAAGAGGAGTACTCCACACAGATGTAAAAGCCAAAAATGTTATTTTCAAAACAGAAATAAATCGGATCATATTCCCACATATTTTTCCATAATTTATTTACACAGTCGTTGTTATTCTGCTGTCCGGGTCGGGATTGGGCCTGTCTATGTGGCAGCCCAGTGAGGACTGGGTCTTGACTGGATGGCAAGGTTCCCACTCTGTGTTGGCCTTCAGTCTGCTTTAGCCTTGTCTGTGTCTAGAACACCTGGAAGACAGAGAAATATCAATGCACGGTTTTCTCTTGTTCAATCATGCATAACTCAAATCAGTGGTGTTGAGGGGAATATGAAGTTGTATGAACAGAAATATGAACAGTTGCAAATAGCACTTTATATCCACTCCTTCCTAAATGAAAAGCCAATTGAACATTCATAGCTGACCAATTGGCCTTTATATATCTATCATCAATGTCTCATTTGGGCATATTGAGGTTATGTTGGAGCGGTGAGATGGGAACATGAGCTCTGAGGGAAGGAGCTGTGGGAGAGAGAAATGAATTAAATCACAGCAGGACTAAACTAGGGAAGTGAAGTGGGAGAGGAAGAGGAAGAAAGAGGAGAGGATGGGCTAGAGGAAGAAGGGATTGGAAAGAAAAGAGAGGAGGGAGAAAGAGGAGAGAACATGGGTGAGGGGGAGAGGATTGGAGAGAGTCGAGAAAAGAGAGGAGAGAGGGAAAAGAAAGGAGAAGAGAAGACCGGTGGGGAGAAGAGACATTTGAATGGATAGAGTGTTGAGGGAATAGTGAGCAGATCGAAGGATGTAGAAGTTTGTGATAGGAATTGAAATGGTTGTGCTGATTTTTGGGTCAGTGTCAAACAGGTGGGAGGAGGAGGGATGGAGGGATTTGGTGTCTGCTAGCTGTAGTCTACTCTTCTTCTCTCCTCTCATTTCCCATCTGTTACTCAGCGCCGCAGGTAGCACTACTCCCACAGACCTCCCAGCCCGCACTATTAATGCAAATAGTAACAGGAATGTGTGTGTGTGTTAGCTCAAGTGTGTAGGTGTGTGAGTGTATGTGCAGTGTGTGTGTGAGTAAATGTGTTAGTTTGTGTACACATTATGCACTCGTTTGCACTTGTGTGTGTGGGTGAGTGCTGGTGTGAGTGCAAGAACTAATAGAGGTTCTGAAATCACAGGGATTCTGTGGAGGGATTTGTGCCAGTATAGGCCCTTAACATGCTATTCCGCTTCACACACACACACACACACACACACACACACACACACACACACACACACACACACACACACACTCCCACTCTCACACACAAGTGGCTGCCAGACGTGTTGAGGGCTTACATTTGGAGCAGTCCCAGATGTAGCTGTTGAGGATCTCTCCCAGGACATAGTAGATGTTAATCAGGACAGCGAGGCAGGAGAAGAAGGCCACCTTCGCCAGGGAACTGATCTGCTCCAACAGGGGGTAGACCCACACACCGGTCACATGGTGCACCCAGCACATCCTGACAGGAGAGAGAGGGAGGTAGGGGTGAGATAGAGGACTAAGATATAAGGAAAGAAAGAGAGTGCAGAGTTTATACTTTTATATTACAGCCACCTGTCTGTATCAATAGAGGCTCAAATATGGCCAAAGTAGAGATCCTTTGTTGCTGCCATACACCCACTGTCTGTGTCACTTTTGCTGTCTGCCTTCTACAGTATCCAGCCACATCCCTTTCATAAAGTCAGTCTGGTCCATTGAATGTCTGACAGACAACACACCCCCATGGTTGTCCTACTGTAGGAATCCAGATTAAACATTTTTAATAGTGAGATTATTATAAAAACGTACCTGCCCTAAACTAGGCTGAACCACTGAAATGGATGTAAGATCAGATCATACAGTACATTTAATGCTATACTTTTGAACATACAGTAGTACTGATACAGTACAGTGGTAGAGGACATTAGAAGGACCATCATTGACAGTGGATTGAGGTAACATGCCCTCAGATGAGAGAGCCACTGCCAGGGGAGGTCTGAGAGAGATACACTGCCAGGGGAGGTCTCAGGGAGAGAGAGAGAGAGAGAGTGCCACTGCCAGGGGAGGTCTCAGGGGGAGAGAGAGAGAGAGTGCCACTGCCAGGGGAGGTCTGAGAGAGAGACACTGCTAGGGAAGCTCAGGGGGAGAGAGAGAGAGAGTGACACTGCCAGGGGAGGTGAGAGAGAGAGATACACTGCTAGGAGAGGTCTCAGGGAGAGTGACACTGCTAGGAGAGGTCTCAGGGAGAGAGACACTGCTAGGAGAGGTCTCAGGGAGAGAGACACTGCTAGGAGAGGTCTCAGGGAGAGAGACACTGCTAGGAGAGATCTCAGGGAGAGAGGCACTGCTAGGAGAGATCTCAGGGAGAGAGGCACTGCTAGGAGAGATCTCAGGGAGAGAGACACTGCTAGGAGAGGTCTCAGGGAGAGAGACACTGCTAGGAGAGGTCTCAGGGAGAGAGACACTGCTAGGAGAGGTCTCAGGGAGAGAGACACTGCTAGGAGAGATCTCAGGGAGAGAGGCACTGCTAGGAGAGATCTCAGGGAGAGAGGCACTGCTAGGAGAGGTCTCAGGGAGAGAGACACTGCTAGGAGAGATCTCAGGGAGAGAGACACTGCTAGGAGAGGTCTCAGGGAGAGAGACACTGCTAGGAGAGGTCTCAGGGAGAGAGACACTGCTAGGAGAGATCTCAGGGAGAGAGACACTGCTAGGAGAGATCTCAGGGAGAGAGGCACTGCTAGGAGAGGTCTCAGAGAGAGAGACACTGCTAGGAGAGGTCTCAGGGAGAGAGAGAGAGCATACAGTACTGGACAAGGGCAAATTAGTGAAAGGCGACAGAGTCCAGTGCGTCAGCTGGCCCACTCACAGCCTCTCCTTAGCCCACTGATTCCAAAGCAATCACTCAAGGTGAGACTGGACTGGCCCTTACCCTGGCCCGAGGCTGCTGCACAATACAGCTGATCCCACTAATAAGAAGTGATTACACATACTTGAGTCCACAGACGGAAGCTGTTGGGCGTCAGTAAGACGGTGAATAATGTAATTGCTTCAATTAGCTGAATTCAATAATTGGGCAATTAGTTGAATGGCAGTTTTATGTCTTCAAGTTGCACATGTGGGGGCAAACAAGGTAGTTAATCTAACAGTTACATCAGTTGTTACATCCGTTGACCTCTACCCTAATTTATTATGTACTGTATTATTCATTCGTAACCACAGGGATTTTAGACTATGACTCTATGGATTCAGGGGAAATCCCTACATTCAATGTTAATTTTAGTAACCTAGCATTCCTCAGTTTACAATTTTTTGACAATCCAAATGATTGAGCGTACATATGTCTGTATGAGTGATGGTGTCTGACAGACTGTACACAGATCAGACATGTCTGCCACTGAAGCTTAACTCGTCCTACTTGACATCTTTCTCTTTCCCTCTCTCTGTCTATCCCCCTCTCTCTCTGTAACTCCCTGGCTGGGAATCCCTATGTAAGGCAGCCAGTGGAGGCTGCTGAGGGGAGGACGGCTCATAATAATGGCTGGAACGGAGCAAATGGAATGGCATCAAACACATGGAAACCATGTGTTGGATGTATTTGATACCATTCCCCTGATTCTGCTCCAGCCATTACCACGAGGCGATCTTCCCCAATTAAGGTGCCACCAGCCTCCTGTGCAGACATCCTACGGATTTACCCAACTCCAGCACTTTTCCTCTCCCGCCGAGGGAAAGGAGATAGATTCCCTGACCCTGTGAGACGTGTGGGGATATAATCCTCTTAATCCTAGCCAGGGATTAAAATGAAGAGATGTGTTTGTTGCCGTGAGGCTCCTACACTTCAGGTGGGTCTGACAAACCCCCTTCTCCTTGCTGTCGGCACTGGTTAGCTGCGGCTGCAGTAGAGGGTTCCTTCGGTTCCCAGCCTCTCCTCTCCTCTGTGAGCATTAAATCTGCCGTGCTCAGGACTAGGGTCTGGTTCTCTGGTGTTGGTGTTGTCACAAGGCAGGCCTCTCTGCCAGACCAGAGACAGATCCCCCTCTCTCTCTTTCTTTCTCTCTTTCTCGACTGATAGAGGAGGGTTAGAGGTTGTTTTATCTGCAGCAGATTTGGAGAGACTGTGTGTTATCATGCAAGGAGAAGGCCATCCATCATGAGGGCGTGGAGGGACAGAGCCATGAGAAACGTGGGAATGGAGCTAGCTGCCAGACCTACGGGCCTGGAGAGGCAGTGGGGAGGGGCGGGGTGGCTGGACGTCCCTGTCTTCTCATCAGCCACACAGATCAGTCACATTCATCATCAGGACACACAGTACACAATATTTATACTGTGATGTTGCTGTGATGATTTCTCTGTTCTGTACAGTATGTTCTTATATGTGTCTTATGCCTGTTTTCAAGAGCATGTTTTAATGGCCCCAAGTGGAAATGGACAATAACATTTTAGGCCTTTTCACACTGCATTGTTCTGAGCCCCCGGCTATCTTAGCCCCAGGCTAGACAAGCCCTGGGCTAGTTTAGCCTGTGTTCACACAAGCATTTGTTAAACCTGGGCTAAGCTTTTACAGGTGTGCCTTAAAAGAGGCTATATTTGTTGCACCCTATTAGTGAGAATGCTGTACCCCACAGAATGCAGCACCATACCGTATTTTTTAATATTTGACCTGTAAATCTACAGTAATTTACATTTACATTTACTTCATTTAGCAGACGCTCTTATCCAGAGCGACTTACAAATTGGTGCATTCACCTTATAGCCACGTTCTGGAACATTCAATATACTGGATAGTGTGCTGCCAGCAATTTACTGTAATTCAGTACCACCCCACAAAATACAGTATCATACTGTAATTTTGGAGCACCAAAAAACTTTTGCGGATGCATGGTATTGTTGTGGCTCATTAACACATTTTCAGGCGTGACTTGTAAGAGGCTATACTTGTTGCACTCCTTAAATTCATGCAACAATATTATTATCATGGATATATCCAATTAAATGTAAATAGAAAAGCTATGAAAACAGACAAATGGAGCGTTTGCTGCCCTTCCAGCTGTAGAGGTTTTAGCTTTAGTTGGCCAAGTGAGAAGCCTGCTGCACAGCAACCATTTTTGTTAGACATAGCAACCAAAGTTTTGCATGGATGAAAGTGTTTTGATTTTTGTCCTCAGGAGGAAGGATGAAATAGTATGAATTTCCTTAACAAAATAACATGCAGAACACATTACAGGCATCACAAGCATATGTAAATTAAGTGACATTGCAGCTTTTGTGATTGGACAGTAAGCATTCTAGGTGTTGTTCTTAACCCTGTTTCACACTGGCTATATTGGCATCGTGTTTGATCTGGGGCTAAATCCGAAAAGTCGGTACTAACCCTGCTCCGGATCAGGGCCAGCTAGCCCTGGGCTAAGGTTAGTGCTAGCCCACTTTAAAATGCGCAAGTGTGAACACTCGCTTAAATCTCCCTTAGCCCAGGGCTAAGGTGCAGTGTGAATGCGCCTTTTATGTTCTCTTATCAATTAGCAACACAGACCTTGGAAGAGTCCAGCCTGTCATTGTTGGAGGAAAAGGGCTCTTACCATAGAACGTATCCCACGGCAAAGCTGCACACAGCTATCAGTCCACAAGGCCTGCTGGGATACTGGTGGTGCGTGGTCCTCATCTCAATGATGATGAAAGGGAGGACGGTGGTGTGCTGGTGCAGAGAACACAGAGAGAACACACGTTAGCCACGCACAGATAGCTAGTTAGTATTAGCGACACGGTGCCTGTCGGTGCCAGGCTCAGTGACAACAATTGAGACATGATACATTAGTAACACACAGTATGGCTTTACAGCAGAGAGAGAGAGAGAGAGAGAGAGAGAGAGAGAGAGAGAGACGAGAGAGAGAGAGAGAGAGAGAGGATGAGAGAGAGACGACGGAGAGTAGAGAGATGAGAGAGAGAGGAGAGAGGAGAGAGAGAGAGAGGAGAGAGAGAGAGAGAGAGAGAGAGAGAGAGAGAGAGAGAGAGAGAGATGTTATGATGAGGTACTCAGACAGACAGCCTGTAGATAGGTTCATGTAAACAGTGGGAGTCTAGAAGCTCTGTCAGTCTGGGACATTGAGCGCAGGGTCATAAAAGAGTAATAACGTTTTTTTTAATAGAGCCGTGTGTGGGAGACATTAAACAGATGACGTGTGATGCTGCTGTGTAGAGACGAGTGCTCTACTCTCCAGAGTGAGTGTCTTATGATTAAAATCCCCACTGCTCTCCTCTTATGTTCTCTCTCTGACGGACCTCGCTGACATTTTACTGTTGTGACTTTCAATAATTCAGTAATCTGCTTGCTTTGGCTTGGGATGTGGCGCCTGTTTTTTTCCAATGTGCTCAAAGGATCAGATCTTTTTTAGAGTGTGCTGCTAAGGATGCTCCAGCGTGTAACAGATGTGTTTGCAGAAGGGTAGGCAGAGAGACAACATTAACTTTTAACACCCTTTAATATTTCGTGGTGTGTGTGTGCTGCTATTTTTTACCATGTTATTTCACCTAGCTGAAACAGCAGACTGCTGGGGCCCGTTAGAGCCCACACTGTCGCCCCTACCGCACACACACAATGAGTGATGCCAGCGGTGGAACGCGACAGCTCCCTGACGATCAACTCCCTCTCTTTAATCAATGTGCTCATGACTCACCTGCTGTTCTTATAGACCACCTGCGCTCTGTCAGGAATAGAACCATTACGTAACGTGTGTGTGTCTGGGTGTCTGTGCACGGCTGATTAGAAATGGACGAAGTGGGAAGTTTGAGAGTATATTGAAACAGGTAGAAGCCATGGTAACTGGCTATTTTGTACAGTGCAGTATACTTCAGTTAACCTTGTTTCTAGCTGTTTCTGCTTCAGCCAATTACTGTATCATTGTCATACCAAATAAGTTGGTATCAAGCAGAAACCGAATGAAAACCAGGCTGGCATTGACAAAGACACAGGTTGGGTGGCCGTGGAGGAAATGTTGCATGTGACTAATTGCTAATGGAAGCTAATGACAGTATCTTTAAAGGTGCCCTAGCCATTGGTGGGGGTGTAGAGGGTCACAGTTGAGAGACATCTCTCCTGTGCTAATTGAAATCGAAATCAGCTCCCTGAACATACACTTCCACTGAGTGGGCTAGAAGTGGCCTGGGTTCATAATACCATATTAATGTGTGGTTCATCCAAAAATTAAATAATATTTGGTCGTTTTCTGTTAATTCAAAAGTGTGAATGGAAGTGGCTACTAGGCCCATGTAACCATGTGGTGAGAATGCCATTAACTGTGCTTTGGTCAGTGGCATGTAGGCCTATAAGCTAGGACGTTAAAACAAAGCTTACAGTGCTCCAATGGTACATATCCCATTAAAATCTAAATGGAGGACACTGGCCTTTCCATGTATGCATTTCTTACACCAGTCACCAGATGGCAGCCTTCTTACATTCAGACCTACAGAAGAGTCTCCTCCCATTCCAGTCTAGCCTCAGTTGACCCAATGTTCTGTACGCTACATCATAACAATGACTATCAATGAGCCACGTTCCAATCTAATCTGTTATTAAATACCTGACATGTTGGCATTACACGGCTCTGCCCAGAAACGGTGGTTTACCCCCAACTCCTCATTAATGTGCCACTAACTGTTATTACAAACCCCTTACTGCCCTCTCACCACACTACAGCAGAACGGAACCTATTGTACCATGTCCTGGTCACACAAATGAAGCTCCCTAAACACTACTGAATTGCACTCACGACACACACACACACAAACACACAAACACACACACACACACACACACAAACATAAACACACACACACACACACACACACACACACACACACATACACACAACGGGTAGGGTGTAGATTGAGGCTAACCCAGTCACAGTGAGTATCCTCATGCCGTAATGATGTACAGTGTGTTCCTTAGGACCTCATTCAAAATGATGAGTAGCTCCTCACAGCTGGCCACTCTCTCTCTCATTCACACACACACACCACACAGACACACTCCCCTCCTACCAGGCTCTCATAATGGCATATCTATCTAACAACATATCAGAGCATCACCATCAGATGGTGGACACATGCTGTATTTGCCACATTTCAAAGTTAATCTACATTACCCTACCTTTCTAGACTACCTCCATTTTTTTAGTGAGACTGGGGACATCTGTATGCATTTTCGTAAACTAGACTGTGTAATTTGTTGTTGGTACGACAAGACGATTAAGAGAAACTGACTGTTGATCTTGGAGATGAACAATAGAATTTCATATTGTGTTAATGATAATCATGAAAGTGACACACCCTAAATCTTTCAACCAGCCACCTCAGGCAAGCAGTGTTTCAACTACCCACTGACTCTATGCTCATCCACAGATCTCTACCCACTAAGCCACACATCTACACTAACACTCTTCTCCCACACGCATACACACAGTCACACACACACATGCACCCACGCTCACACACTCACTACTGACGCCACACACATACACTCACACTCATCACCATGCAAACACCCACTCACAACATACGCTGCTGCTATAGTGATTATTATTACCATTGGTATTTATCCTGCTACTAGTCACTTTTATCCCTGTGTACATGTACATACCTACCTCAATCACTCCAGTACCCCTGTACATTGGAATCATAGTACTGGCACTGACCTGTATATAACTTGCATTCTCCTGTTTTTTATTGTATTTTCTTCTCTCGTATTTCTCATGTGTTTTTTTCCTTTATCATTACTTTGATTCTGCATTGTTGGGAAAGAGCTCGCAAGTAAGCGTTTCACTGTGCTGTTTAACACCTGCTGTATCCTGTGCATGTGAAAATACAACTTTGAAACTTAAACTTAAATCTCTAACCGTTGACTGTTAGAAAGACACTAGAGGATTGATCGTGTGGTAGTGGGGGAGATAGACACATCCATAGATCTCTCCTGTGCTATAGCCTGAGAGGGAACCTTGACGCACGGCAGTTCCATGCAGCTGCTGGAAGTGCAAATGAGGTAAGAAGTCCCTCATCTCCTCGGAGACATTACATACTCTCTGTCAGGAGAGAGAGCTCTTCCACTGCTCTTCTCTGCTCTCCTGGATCTGTAAATGTTCCCAAGGAGAGCGTGCTGTGCTGTGCATGGTTTGTGTCAGAGTCAAAGTCACGCTCGCTTATCTATCTGTCTTTCCCTCTCACTTGCTTTTGATCTATCTCAATCTCCTTTTTCTCTAATATAAACGCGCAGGCACGGAGACATGGACACTTTTTCAAACATAGTTTTTCTAAACGCTGAGGCAAGAATAACCTCTAGATTTACAGTATGGGTTTACTTGAGCACTAATGGCCATCACCGAAGGGCCAAGCAGGATTAAGTGGAGTGGTCCAGGGAGGGTAGAGAGAGTTTAGTTAGCACTGCTGAGAAGAGTTCTCCCACAACAGACTCAGGCCAGTGAAGGAAGTGGGTTTTAACAGGCTCCAAGAACAACCCTCCCCGCCAATACTCACTCACACTTAATCTATTTTGACTTGCCATATGAAAACTCTGTCCATGATGAGCTTTGGTCTCATGCTTCCTGACAATGCTTATTAATTCATGCAATGGAGAGGTCTATGATTTCCATTGAACATGTTGCTTGGCAGATGCCCTAGTCCACAGTGAAGATACTCTGGAAGCTACTTAGGCTCTCAATTTCCCCACAGAGCAATTAGGGTGAAATTCATCACACAAGGCTTTCACAGCTGTAGCCTGGTTGGGATTTGAACCCAACACCCTGCGGTCAGGAGTGCGAGGCCTCAGCTACTGGTACTTCTATTGTCATTGTTGTCTGCTACTGCTATCCAAGTGCTGGGGACATATTTTGAGGACCTCCGAGTGTATGTTATGCAAAGTATCGTAATTACCATAGCCATCACTCACAATGGACAGCCAGAGAACAAATAAATAGACAATAAGAGAAAGCTTCATTTCTAAAGCCACAAAGACTCCTGCCTTTTCATTTCTGTCACGACTGATTCAGTTACATTAGACTATCCATACACAAGTGAACTGGTTCAGACAGGAAACGCCACATATTCGTTTAACCATTTATTTGAAAAAGATTACAATGCATGCAATGCATTAGTCTTGGTGTTGGCCTCTGCTCCTTCGGGGTAGCTCACTGTCAGAGCATGCATCATGTTAAGATAATAATAATTACAGGCAGTGAGCAAGGTACGCTGTACAAATCCCCCTGACCGAAACAAAAGCAGAGCGCAAACAGGGAGTCTGGGGTGGGTGGTGGGAAAGCAGAAAACAGACATTCATGGCAGGTAAAGCATGTTACAGCAATAACGTTCCACCAGCAACACCAGTGCATAGCTTGCGCGCAGCAGCCATCAGAGAATGTGTGTTCAGAACCTGATTGACTAAATAGACAGCCATGTTAAGGTAGAGTGATTAATCTAATTGGTACAATATCAGCTGAGGCACTTGATTTCTGTGCTTGTGGCAACAACTCTAAGTGACAAAGAGAACGTAAGTACAGTCGTGGTCAAAAGTTTTGAGAATGACACAAATACACATTTTCACAAAATCTGCTGCCTCAGTTTTGATGATGGCAATTTGCATATACTCCAGAATGTCATGAAGAGTGATCAGATGAATTGCAATTAATTGCAAAGTCCCCCTTTGCCATG